GTGAAACTTGGGCTATCGATAGAGTAAGTCTGACTGCTCGATTGTCCGGACCGTTCTGATACCTTGGCTTCAACCCGTTCAACCCATTTTGTGAGATGTCGAGCAATTAAAAATAATTCGATCCGCGAACTCAATTTAAGTGCTTTTGATTTGTAAGTAAAGCTTATTTTATGCTGATTTCGTTCTCTAAAAATGTGGTCTCCTCCGCAGCCGTTTTGTGGGGTGTCACACAACGCTCCCCCTTTGGGGGAGCGTTGCGTGAGAGACCACATTTTTACTGGAAATGTCGGCTGGTGCGAATTCATTCGTCATGGTGAGAAGTTTGTCTCTGGCGGTGGTGGACTTCCATGGGGTGCCGCCCCTCTTGTCAATTGACTGTCATGGGGTGTCGCACCTCTTGTCAATTAGGTATGCGCTTAGATCTTGCAAACATTCTCGTTTTTTCTTTGATCATTTGGGACATATTGCATAACGAAAATTTGCTGCCATTTAGGCTTAAATAAACCGAAACGATTCTTCCATTTTGCTCTTTTTGTAAATTATCAAAAGCGCTGTTGATTAGAATGCAGACACCTTTACTGTGTGTGGATCCACGCGAAAAGAAAATGACACCTCCACATTCACTTCTCCAGATAATTTCATCTTTGAGTTCTGAGTATGTTTCCTGCAGAAAATAGGCTTCACAACTTTGATCTTCAAGAAAACAGAAAATACTTCTCCTCTTCATCGGGTTTCTTAGTCCTCTGACATTTAAAGTCATCACATTAAAATTACCCTGCATTATCAAAGTTGTCAATACCTACAAAAGATTTTCCCCTCGGGAGTAGTTTGAGAAATGTTTAAACTTGATTTAAATATGCAGATTGGGAAAACACAAAAACGAAACATGCAACACAACACAACACAAACCCAGAAGGACAAAAATAAATATAAACTATCATACAAATATACACACACGCATACAATTAAAATAACGAAAATGATTCTGAGGAAAGACATAGATTGGACATTGATCTTCTAAATGCCAACTACGGAAATTGGTACGCTGTATCGGTTATTCCAGCTCCTTATTAATGGTGTCAAATATTTTGAAAATAACAAAATTGTAAAAGAAATTTGATAGTTCGCAAAGGATATACAGATCCAGTCAGAGTTACTGCAGGGGCTGATCTGTAGCAACATATTTGCCGTTGACAAAAAGTTTGTCCGGGTTTGCTTTGCTAAAGTACGCCATGTGTCCTCTCTCTCTCTGGCTTCTTTGAATTTTTTCATTTGCAGTTTCCGTAGTCCATATAGGTCCTTCGGTATGTCATCGAAGACATGGAAATCTTAGTGACCTTTGAGGTGTTTACGAGCATTATCCATTACGAGCTCTCTATCGGAGTACCGAAGAAATCTTGCTATTATTGGGCAAGGTTTAAAAGAATTAGGCCTACCCAGGCGGTGAGTTCTCTGGAATTCTATTTTTGGGCGAGGTTGTTCAATCTTAAGTTTCTCTTCCAGGAATTGGTACATAACTTCTCTGGTGTTCTTCAAACAAGACTCGCTGTTCCGCTGATCGCTCTTCCATGGTGCATTCGGTATTCTCAGGTACGCCGAAGAATTTTAGATTTTCTCTTCTGGAGGAGGTCTCCATGTACAAGAGCTGCTTCTTCAAGTCATAAACCGGGTTTTGCTAAAAGCAGGCCCAGCGGCCCACGACCCACGGCCCGCGACGGCCTAGCGGCCTGGCGGCCCGAAGGCCCAGCGGCCCGCGGCCCATGGCCCACGACGGCCCGGCGGCCCGGAGGCCCGGTGGCCCAGTCCTGATTTTCTACACTTTTTTTTGTCCAGCGGTAAATCCACGCGCATGCACAGATCTGCATCGGGTTTGGGGGTGCAAAATGGACCAGTCACCAGTCCTTTATTAATGACGCAAAGTTCTGATTTTTTGTCTCATCCTCTAAAAATCGCCTTCTCCATTTTTGCCTATGAAAACCTTCACATAAATCGATATTTCTCAAAGGTGGGACCTCAGCCTGAACCATCCTTGTTATCACTCTCTAGTATACTAATTATTTAAAGTTGTGGGCACTCTTCAGTTTGAAGAGCAAAAAATTCGAGTAAGTTACCGAAAATTCTTTATGTTCAAAACTCAGAAACTGCTTTCTCGGTATTCGATGAGACTGTGACAGTTTTTTTCTTCTTCTCTGTTTTTAGTCATTTCCGTTAATGAAACTGACACCTCAGTTGTCACACAACATGTAATCTTTGGATGATGTGACCGCAGGTTACTGAGAATACGGTTGAATCCCCATGCTTCGTATAAGTGGTCTTACGGGTTATCTAATTCCCATTTAATCCTTTCAAAGTCGATAAAATTAAGACGAGCTCAATGTCAACAACAATATTGTTGTGAGTCACAACAGATTTGATGAATTGCAGTAGTGTACACGGCGGGGTCGCTGAGAATTCCACCGATAAAAATAATAATAATAATAATAATCAAATGACAATGGCTTCTTTAGATATTCCCAGTGCAAGGACCAGCAATGGTTGTTCAAGCATTGAAAACCTCCTTAGAAAACAAATTTTTGTTACATTTTGAGACAACTCACTCGCAATTTATTTTCTTTTTTTTTTTTTCAGATCACAATGCCTAAAATCGGATTTGTAATTCCCAAAATGATCACTTACTGAATAAAAACCATATCTTGGCATCTCTACATTAAGTCTACGAGTAATATTGTGATTGGTGCTATGGGAACTGTGAAATAAATTTTTCTTGTTTATAGACTAATTTTATGCATACTGTGGAATTTGCAAATTGATTCTTAAATCAACGGTAAGGATTCCGTATTTAAAGGTCTCATCTGTGACGGGGTTATTTTCAGCCCCTACGATTGGAATTAAATGAGTGATAAATTTCTTCGTATTCCGCATTTCACTCGATTTAATTTCCCGTCAGAAAAACACCTTGATTAAATTAACTTGTGTACCACAAACGAATGAAAAGAAGCTTTTAGACTTTGAGGCATAAACAGTTTGTCTACATGTTGTCAAAAATCTGTTCTCAGGACGCCATATTAGACTGTAAACAGCGATTGTGGAAAAGGTCGCAATATCAACCTACCTGAGAGAATGCTATGATGGTGTTAACGCGCACCTCACCAGCTGCCATTTGTCACAGGAGACATCATCTTGTCTCCCAAACAGGAACACAAATACAAAAAAATTGAGTTTGTCCAACGCATAAGCATTATTTGGGGAGGATTTGCCGATTACCTAGACCGTGTCAGTATCCTAATCTTATAGGGAAGCCGACCAGCTTGCATCACCGAAGGACATGTCATTGGTTTGATAGTAGCGAGAGAAATCTACCATTGTAGCTATAGGATCACGCAAGTAGAAAGTGTAGGGAAAAGGCTGTAATAATCCCTTGAAACATGCGTTTCCCTGGATCTGAGTCGTGCTGAGAATCACCGGATCGCAACTAATGCCTTTGAATACTGAATCCTGACCATTGATTGAAGAATCAGTTTGCAATTTTCCTCGGTAATAAAATTACAGTGTGTAAACAAGAAATCTTTATTCCCACGGCACCAATCACGCGTTTACTCGTCGACTATGCAGACATTCTAATATACGGTTTTTACTCAGCAACTTAGGAATATTCAGTTTTAAGCGCTGGGAACTGAAAAAAAAAAAAAAAAAACCGAGGAGCCGAATATTTGCCGTCGTCAAATAGATTGCTCCTGAACCTGTCCCGAAATGTAAAAAAAAATTTTTTGGAGGGAATTTTCAATTTTTTTTTTAACAACTACTACAGGTCCTTGCACTGGCAATCTCTAAAACGACCTTGGTATATTTCAGTATTTTTTTTTTATATCGGTAGAATTCTCAGTGACCGTGTATACTACTGAAATTCGACAAATATGTTTTGAATCACTACAATTTATGACCTCGACTTTCAGTCATGTTTTTTTTAAAAAAAAATGGGACACGAGAATTTCAGCAATATACAAGATTTTAGGGGAAAAGATAATTTTATTTGAAGATTGAAATTGCCCCTATACAAGTTTATTTTTTGCTTAGAGTTGGTTTCCGTTTCTCGCGGAAGTGGCATTCGGTCCAGAATAGTTTTCATCTCTGTCAGCCTTTCCAGCAAAGAAAATATCCTTCCCTTGTCGTCAAATTTCTGTCCTTTTCACTACATTGATGATTTTGAATTGTAAAATGGCTGCACTCATTAAAAATCAGCTTTTGGATCGATTATTCTGGGTCATAATCAAAAGCTATTGCTGATGCTGAACTGGGAAACTTCCCGGTACTTGCTGTCATTTTTTGTGTTGACAGTTGCCTCTTGGTAACTCTTATCGCATCACGTATTGTGTTTCGCGGTTGGGGTCAAGTTTACAGCTGTAACTCCGCTTGCTGGACGAAGCTGAAAGTATTCTCAGATACGATTTCCGTAAATGTATAAATGTTTAATAACTAGAAGAGGATATGAGGGCCAGGAAAAACTCTGGTGGCGAAATTTTGCTGTGTTGCTGATTATAAACCGAAAGCTGCAGAAATTTTAAAGGAGAGATGCGTGAGTGTTGAAATCGGGATGCAAACGCACTCAAATTGCATGAAAAACAAAAATGTTCACAATTCCCACCTCTAATGAAACTGCTATAATTCCAAAACTAGTTATATTCAAAGCTTACATAATCAATCAATCGAACTCTATCAACACACGACTAAAGCTGATTAAAATCTATAACATATTGAAAGAAAAAATTCTAAAGAAAGTAACTAATATACCGTAACTAGAAACTTTATTTACGAGTTTTGGAAATCACGCAAACTGCATTATTTTGTAATGTTTTCTCTCAAGTGTCGTTGCCCGAATCATAAGGGTTTTGCCCGAAAAATCACATAATTTCCGTAGCTGGGGNGGGGGGGGTTGCAGCCCCCCGCACCCCCCCTCCAGCTCGTAAGTCTATGTTCATACAATGTTTTGTTCGTTTATTTTCACTGGCCATATCGCTCGCAAAATAGTATACAACTCGTAAAAACTTCAGCTATTCTATACGCGCAGAGACATATACGGGCAAAATTTATGGAATAAACTCTGTTTATTATACCAGGACAAGAACTACCAGAACTACCAGAACTACTAGGTGAGCTTTCGAGCGAAAGCATGACATCTTCACTCGTAACAATCACATGTTCACGCGAAGTTAACATGTTACTGTGTTTGCTGGCTTTTGTTTTTTTCGCTGTATTGCTTTCGTTGGCTTTTTTCCGAAATCCGGCTAAAACTCTGTGAGCCATTTTTATAGGCTAGCTCCTAATTATTACATTGTAATGGACAGGAGCTTGTAATTTTTTTTTTTCAGTTGTGACATATTTTTCTACTTTGGGACAAAAATTCATAAATAGTTAATTAATATGGTCTGGTACTTTGTAGGTGATAATAAACAGAAAATTACATGTCCGCTTGGAGATACAAAATTTTCCTTCTTGCTCACTGCGCTTACTCGAACAGAAATTTTGTATCTTCGCACGGCCGTGTAATATCCTCTATTTGTCGTTTGCTAAAGAAATGTGAAGTGCGTTTGTACAGATCCATTTCTGTTAGGTTATTCTTCACAAACCCGGTAATGCGGTAGATATTACAAAGTGCATTGTCACTACAAAATAATACAGTACATATCCAAAATTTCCCAGACCCTCTGGCGCAAAGAACCTTGGTCGTCTGTGGCCACTACGTCACGTGCTTCCTCCACAGGCACAGCAACTGGTTGGTCTACAATCTGCCACTCATCTTTTCGATCCTTCCTCTTTCTTTGAGTTGGCTTTCTTGTAACTTCCCTTATCTTCCTTGTAAAGTCTTGTCTCGATTCCTCTGTCTCCAGGTAGGGAGGAGTCGTTTTGGTAACAGCATCTATCGTCTAAGATATTGGAACAAATTTTTACATGTAACACGCACGTCAGTTTTAGCCCTGGGAGGTTAGGATTTCGTACCCCTTCCACACATTTTGAGAGTATTAAGGCGGTGAAAATGAAACTTGGAAAGTACACAGCATGGCCAAAGATGTTCCCTTTGACTGATTCGTAACGGATATTGATGATGTCATATGTGAATTTAGTCATGATTGTCAAATTGTGGCTAACTTGGATTCACCATCTTGAATTTCTGGCCAAACAGAAAGACGCCACAAAAACCAATCAAAACTAATAGAAGAACTATAAACTAATATAAATATAAGAACGTTAATAAATTGTTAATTTACAACGGAAAATTCAAATTTCTGAAAAGAAAAAACTCTTTTTGCGAAAATTTGGTTGCTCTGGCATCATTCAATTCAATGACTATTCACTGGCTACCACAGCAAATTGTCTCCAAGTAAATTTTTTAAAAAGCCGCAAAGTTTGGTTACTATGATTACTTCTAATTTTGGAACGTTAAAAGTCCACTGTGTCAGAATGACCTCGGTTCCTCCCAAACCCACCCCCTCCCTCGGCTCTTTCTGCTCTTCGTTAACCTCCAGCTCTTAACATGCTACTAATTTTTGCTTTGCAACTATGCCCAATAAATGTAAAATTCGGAGGCAAGTCTAAAGAACAGGTATCAAGCCTTGATAGATAGACTGATATCATATCTGACAGCACATTACATTCTCAGCACCCCCGTCCCCGCTTCCTTAAATAACATTGCGTTCAGAAATGTGCTTGTGCTTTACAGCTATGCTCCAATAAGTCACCTTTCCATTACAGGTCTAAGGCAAGGGTATGGAGCCTTGATAGAGAGAATACTGTATCTGACAATTGCGATACATCATAAATGCACTTTTGGATGTCTGCCCGTGCTCCCTATTTTAGTAATATACATTTCCAGTGTTTTTGTTAAATACTTAAATAGTTCATCATAATTTTCGAATATCTTAAAAGTTGGAGTTTCTTTAAAAATGCCGTATCAAAGGTTTCGGATCATTTTCCAATACGGTATTACGTCCGAAGACTGTGGAACACATAAGCACTCGAATATTGGTAAGTAAAAGGCATAAAGTAAGCAAAGCCGTGAAAATTAGTTCTTCTTGCATGTATGGTTGTAAGAATTTAAAATCGCTGGTCTGCCATTGCTTTACCTAACTGATATTTATTCGCCCACGACTCCGCAAAACTACCAACGGATTAGATGGGAATTGGAGATGTCACAGACAGGTCTAAGCTTTTATTGCACCAGCGTCCAAACCTAAGGGGATAACGATGCCCTTGGGAGCTTTTGCGTTTATGAAACTGGAGCTGAACGTCTGGCCAGGACGATGTTCGCTAGTTTGTCGTCTATTGAATTTTGACAAAGCCAACTAAAAGTTGGACGAGATTCTTAAGTTGGCAAGACATGTTTTGAATACTTATGCCAAAGATGACTTAGTATATCAAAATATGTATCGCAAACTTGATTATAATGGTAGATTGTTTCCACATAATTTATACCGCCGGTAGATTCGCTCACCTCGATTAACTTGGATAGCTGTGTTTTGTAGGCATCAGGCTGACTATCCGGTCTCAAGCGGTTGTTGAAGAACAACACCCTCTCATCTATCTGCTGGATAAACGTTTGAGCCCATTGTGGCAGAGTTCCTAGCCACAGTTGTTGGTATGCATCAAGGGACACGAGTTCTCTATCTTCGTCGACTCTATCCTCTTTAGTTTCATGCTCAGCTTGGTCAGCGTAAGTGAGAACCAGGATGATGTGCCTTTTAACTTCGTCCCCTAAAAATTCCTGAAGCAGTTGCACAGCCTCTGCATCCAGATTAGTGAGCCTGCAGCCGTACCTCGCTACAAGGATGATGGCGTCGAATCCTTTGGGTGCATGTTGAAGAATCCTGGGGATCTCTTTATCAAACTCTCCGTTGAGGATTCCAGGAGTGTCTAGGACGTTAATTGTTCGCTCTTCTATTCGGGACCCAAACTGATATTCTGACGATGTTTCAGACGTTGCCCATGCCGTCGTGGTGAAAATGTACTTTCCAACTATGCTGTTTGCGGTCGCACTTTTTCCACTTCCAGGTCTTCCAATCAATACAATGCTAAGATCTTTTCCTTGTGGAAGCTTGACAAGGGAGAGCGCAAGTACCCGAAAAAAAAAAAAGACAAAACAAAAAAGAAAAACATGGAGGGATTTGATCAAGCAAACAAAAAAGGTTCTGTCATATACACTGTACACAATTTTATATTTTTAAATAGAAAATTGTATTAAAATTTACTTAATGGAAATAAATGATGCTCTAACCTTGTGATTGAAACAACTCTCTCTCTCTCTCTTTATTTAAAGGTAGCGTCTCCTCAAGCACACGCGTATAATGTTAGAATTAGGGTCAGGGCTCGAGACCTTAAACGGATTACAACACTGATCCATTTCTCTGGATCTGTGCAATTTTCAACATTTTGCTACTACTCATGAATTATAAGATAGAAAACCCTGGCAGGATAAATTTGTCTCACATCTATATAGGCTCGATTACCAGCCGCTGTTCGGGAAAGGAGCCTGCGCTCCTCCCCCGGACTCACGGCTGGACTCGTGGACTTCACATTGTTACTTTCAACCAATAAGAAATCTGCCTGCCTGAATCGAGCAGGCTGCATAAATTAGCTTTCTCGCAGTAGCAAAAAAGTTGTGCGATATGAAGTGCGA